ATTAAAGAAAAAGATAAATTAATCAAAATATATAATGTGAATAATAACTATTACAGGTAAATATTAAAACGCATAATGAAAAAAACAGTTTCAGTTGAAATATTTAATAAAAAAATCAAATGAAGGAAACTCCCATAAGAAAAAGATTTGAATTGGAAATGTTGAAGTTTACATTGAAAAGGTAAAAATAAATTATCTCCTTTCAATGACTGAAAAAAATACGGACAGAATAGTTTTATGTTTTTAAAAAGTTAATAGATCTGTAGTTCTAGAAATTCTAGATGATTATCAATCAGATCAAATTATTAGCGTAAATCGAGCAAAGAATTAATTCATCCTAAATTTTGAAAGGCCATAGATGAAAGTAAAAAAAAAAACTAATCCAAAGCAATATTGACAATAACTGTGACAATTTATCGAAGCAAACAAGATTGTTCCATTCAGTAATATGGGCCGGCTTCTTAATAAAAGGGTGGTCGATAAAATTACATTTTCTTTGTAGTTAATTACAACTACTTTATTACAATTGTAGTTAACTATAACTACTTTTTTTAAAAATATAGTTACTACTTCAATACTTTTCGCAGACATACGTACGTTACTGATTAGCATAATTCCCATAAATGTTTTAAATGTTTTGGGAATAAAAAATTGGCCTGCATGAGAAGTTATTAAGAAACGTTGATTCATCTTTTACATGAGATAATTTGTTATTCTAAAATACTTTTAACGAATTTATTTTTTTAACCTTTGAACTCTGTGTTCTTCTTGACAGTGAATATTTAATTAAGGAAATGATAAGAAATCGTGAAATATTTAAATGATTAATGCTTTTTTTATATCATCCAAGCGAGAAAGTACAGCGCACAAAATGGGGGGAAAAATGGAACACCCTGATACATACGTAAAATCTTTTTTGGTATTCCTTGACCTGAAATTTTGATCCGAAATAGGAAATGGAAATATTTAAGATAATTTTAAGAAGGGCCAGGTTAGTCTGGTTAAATAAGGCGTTGGGCCATGTCCAAGAGGTCGTTGGTTAAATCACCGCCTACCGAAGCCTTCCCATGTAGTAAATGGTGACTGGTGCTCGTTATATCTAACGGGTTACAAAGTCTTTTATGTTCAAAAAACAAATCATACCTCTGGAGGTACTGATCCGGGAGTTTCCTTTTTTCTGGAGCGGTTCAAAATTACAAGGCTACGGAGTTGAACATTAGTAGTCGTAAATCCAAAAACTGGATCTGCTGTTCAACGAAGGTTACAATTACAACGAAGGTTACAAAGGTGAATTGGAGATTGATCGTTCTCTGGTTCAGGTCAAAATTACGATCTGTGGATGAATAAATGGATATATGAATGGGCCGCCCTGTAAATGGGCTATGACGTGTGTGTGACTGACTTCGAATCGTTGGCTATAGATGGCGCAACTGAAGCACAAGAGACGCACTTTTTCCTTAAATTCGCTTAGATTCACCAAGCAGGCTTGCTGGTATTGGCAAGTGACATTAGAAACAACAACAACAACAGAATTTTAAGTTTTTTTTACTAGAGATGCAAATAACTCTTAATCCTTTATTTATTTATTTTTGCTTACCTTTTTTTTATTTTTAAACCTTCTCTCTGAAAAACAGCAAAAAATAAATACATATTCATTTATAAAAACTTCTCTTAAGTATAATATTGAGTTAATTCAGGATAATAAACTGAACTCGAAAGCTGTATTTCTAAATTTTATGCTATTATTAGCTAAATGCATTTTGCAAAATGCATTTAGCTTTGCGTAAGCAAAATGCATTTTGCAAAAAAAAATTCATTCAAATTTTTTTTAAAAATAAATATAAAATCACAATAGCAATTTTTTGCGTGTGTTTATATCATAGGTAGTTTAAACTATTTAAAGTGCGGCATAAAAAAGGTACTACTGCATCTCCAAGAATTAAAACAAAGTATGATTTTTATATTTTCCTTTTTTAAAGTTTGAATATTGTTAAAACTGTAATCTATATTCTAAATTTGCTGGTTTATTGACAAGGATTATATAATTGAAATTGTTTTTTAAAACTTCAAAAATTACGAAAATAAATTTGAAACATGATTTTTGAAAGAATATTTTCCGGTTGAATTATTTTAAATGCTTACATGGTTGTTACTAATATTGTTTAAAAAGAATTTAAACCATACGTTTATTATAAATCAGTTCCAATTGCTTATAATAAAATTATGAATGCAAAATTGACATGTGATAGAAAATACTTCATTTATCAATCAATGCACGAAATCCAGTGCAAAATGGGTTATTAGTACATCACACTCGTTTAAAAAAAGTATTTTACCGACTTCGTTTAATAGCAAAATAACTTGTATGAAGTACAGGCATACAAACAAATTATTTGATATAAATCAAAGAAAAGCTTTAAAAAAACCCGTAAGCAAACTTCTGTACAGCAATTTTGTCATACNTATAAGATTTTTTTTTAATATTTTATATTATTTTATAACTGTCTCTGAACAGAAGACTCAATTATGGGCTTAAGTCTACTAATATTAAACTCCGTAGCCTTGTAATATTGAACCCAATCCAGTTAACAAGGATCTCCTGGATCGAGTATTGGGAGAAATTTGCCTTCGTGGAGGACATTTTAATGGAACTAATCAGCAATAGCGTTACATGGAGAGGAAAACCCCACACGATTAGCGTGACAGCAAGAGAATTCTAACCCATGATCCATCTACCGCTGAGGATATTTTACGTCAGCACTGTGGTCGGCGCGAGCCGGGTGCGACCAGCCAGTGCGACCAATTCATATCGACCAGCCATTGCTGGGATTCGAACCTAATATTTCCTATTCACATTTTTTGTTTAAACAATAATCTTAAATCGATTCTAACACATGACATTTCTTAATTGATATCGATAACTTGATAAGGTATTACGGAATCTTAATTTTAGACTAAAAGATAGAATTTTAATTTTAAATAAAATTATGAATAAAGAAGGTAAATAATTGTCAGAAAATATTTTATTTTCTATTTATTATGTGATTCATGACGTAAATTAAATAAATGTATTTGCACTATAAATGGAAGAGAACTAACTAAGAGCAAAANTAATTTTTGACTTAAAGATAGAATTTTAATTTTAAATAAAATTATGAATAAAGAAGGTAAATAATTGCCAGAAAATATTTTATTTTCTATTTATTATGTGATTCATAACGTAAATTAAATAAATGTATTTGCACTATAAATGGAAGAGAACTAACTAAGAGCAAAAACATGATTGATCCTGATTAATCATAGATTCCCTGATTAATCATAGATTAATCATAACTTCTAAGACAGTACAAATTTAAATGAATTTTTGAGACTTTCAAATCAACTATGATTTAATTTCAAGTGACACTAAGACTAATAATGGCCATAGTATATCTCATTTAATATTCTAAAAAATAAAGATGATCCATTAAATCTTAGGTTGGTCATTGGGGTGGGGAGGACACTAAACAAAATTTTCTTAGAGATAAACATGAAATTTAAAAATTTTGATGTATGCATCGTATTAATAACTATTTGCTATAATATTATAAACTATTCATTTTAATTCTTGCATTAATAACTATTCGTATATATTTCATCGGTTATTTTTATTATAAATTTATTTAAAAATAATGATTTTTAGTTGTACGTTATGCAAATCATTTTACAATTTTACATTATTTCAAATAGCAAAAATATTTGAATAAAATCGGTGAAAAAACTTTTGAGATATCCATTTAAAAATGTATAGTTGAACTTTATTTCCCTATAACTTTCCAACCGATTTCGTTTAAATTTTGCATTTTGTCATTTGAAATTAAATACTTCAAAATTATGTAAAAATCCAGATTCCTTACAATTCAAACATTTTTAAACTGCTGTTAAATAATATAATAAAAAGGTATTTGAAATTATTCTTTACGTGTAATTATTTTCAGATAAATGAGTTTTATATTTATGTGCATTATGCTTAAAAAATTATCGAGATTTAACGAATTATACAAAGAAGTGAATTTATATTTACAGAGCGAGATATTGTCGCAATCACAAATCACAATCGTGGAAATCGATTATTACGTCAAATATTATTCAGGATGATCCGGTTTTTTTCGCACCGTACCATTCAGCGTTTGCATTTGTGACGGTTTTTCGTCCGATAATTATAATGCAGAAAGAAGTTGGAGAATTTGTTTATTTTCAGAATCTATAAATTCCGCAATAAGACTTCCTATAAGAGTATTATATTTGTTAGCAGCTGGAAGATGAAACAAAATATCTGAAACTGCCGTTTAAGTCTGTGTCTATAGCTGCTATAATATTGCTATATTTCGTTTAGTCGTTAGTAATTCCTGATAAATCGAAATTCCTTAACAAACCAAAGTTTGATATTATTCTTCCATGTTAGTGGTAGTTTAAAAAGTATACATGCAAATAGAGATTCAGAAAGATTCTGCACAATTTCGTTTGTCATGTTCAACTTAAAATAATAAAAAGTTTAAACAAATTAAACTAGTTCATGTGCTAACGCAGTTTTGTCACGGAGTTTAATTTTAGAATTAAATTTATATGAAAATTAATACTAGCAACAAAAAACCTAGTTATTAAGGGGAACAAATTGCATAATTAAACCAAACGAAAGACCATTAAAACCAACTTGAATTGTCTCCACGTAGTATACAATCCAATAATTCTAATAATTTTTCCAAGAAGATTGCTTTAAGCGAGTCACTGAAGAGAATATAAAAGTTTAAATTCTCTCAGAACAATTTATTCAAAATATTAGTATACAGTCTTTGGCTAAGTTATTCGACGCACTATAAGATTCTGCCGCATCTTTTCTCTCTTTTCGGCCTCAATTCGTCCCTTGACTCAATTTTCTTTTTGATGCGTCGTTCCCTAACTTCAGAAACCTTAAATGTTCGTGATATTTCGAGGCTTGAAAATATTTTAGCATTCACGAGGGCCTTTACTTTAGCTTTTTTTCCACCAGTGACTTTATTTTATTTTATATCCGTCGTTGAACAGCGGACCCGATTTTGGGTTTACCACTACTAACGTTTTACTCCGTAGCCTTGTCATTTTGAACCCAATCCAGAAGACAAGGAAACTCATGGATCAGAACCCCCAGAGGTATTGATTTGTTGTGTAAACATGGAGGACTTTGCGACTCCACAGATTTAACGTGCATCAGTCACCATGTACAGCACGAGGAATCTTCGGCCGGCGGGGATCGAACCCACGAACTCTTGGATGTGGGCCCAGTGCCCTACAAACAGGCTCTCTCGGCCTTTTTTTTTCTTTACACGTGGTTGAAGTTTTTCGATTGATTATTTAAACGCTACACACAAAACAAGCAAATAACTGCGTATTACAAAACTGTAAAACACATAAGTACATCACATAAAGTCACAGAAACGCGTCCGCAACTGTGGCACGCGACAACGCGACTGAAACCGGTTTGCACTTGTTTACGGTCGTGTATCAATCTGTTAACATTGTAATGCAATACATTGAAAATAAATACAAATAGTAAGTATATAGAGATTTCCTGAAAAAAAACTCATCACGTGTAAATTGAAATATATAAATATTGCATATAAACTCGTGCAAAACATGTAATTATTAAAACACTACAGTGCTTGTAATAATTAACATCATTAACAAACTTAAACATTTTGCTTTCGTTATGCGACGAAAGTCCGCAAAGAAATAAGTTAATAAATAAATAAAAAATTTTTGTTTTGTTTAAAAGCTTAAAAGTAGATAAGAATGTAACTTTTAAATTATAAATTTTCATTATTCATTACATATTTTAAAGCACTCATTGCAGTGTGAAAACTAATTTGTTGTTTTATTAGCAATCAACATATTTCATTTATGACAATTTCATTTCATATACATTTATTTAAAATAATGAATTAATTTTGAAATTTATTAAATGCGTAGTTAGAGTGTAATTCCTTGTATAAATAAAGAATAAAGACTTGTTCTAAACCTAGAATAATTTGTATTTAAGAATGTTTTCACAACTAAATTAATTTATTTTTAATTCGACAAGTTGGTTCTCTGTCTTTGTCATTCTTTAACAGGGTCAATAGCGTTTTTGAAAAGTGCTTATTTTTGATTTGCGTTTTTCAAAAGCCCTTAAAAGTGCTTTTTTTATTCAGAATTTGTGATAAGTGCTTAATTTCGTATCTTTTATAAAGATTTTTTTTTCCTTTGCTGTGTCGATTGTCGTTCTAAATTACAAAAACTGCATGATTTTCACAATTTTCTCGGCAATATTTATCAGAAACTAGTTATTTTATTATGATTATGTAAAGTCTTTGAAAATGTTTATGAATTTTATTGATTTTATGTTTATAAATTAAGAACTTAAAACGACAGAAAAAAATAATTTTTATTCCTGCACAGATCCTAACTATGATTTTTTTTTTTGAAAAGTGATTAAAAATATTTTTTGTGTGCTTAAAAAGTACTTAAAAAGTGCTTGTTTTTTGGTGGCACCCAGTTTAATGTTTTGAGTTTTATTTTGAAATAAAAAACTGGCTAAGTAAGCTAATTTATTCAGCAATTAGTTTGCAGTGAATAAATAATAAAATTTTTTGATTATTAATACTATTAACAATTTTAGTTAAATAATTTTAAAAACTATTTATGCATTTCGTCAGATTTTTGATTGTTAAGTATGAAAACAGTTTTAAAAAGTAAGGAATAATAATTGGAATAAAAAAAATCTTACGTTTAATTTATACCTTGTTAAACAAAATCTGATATTTATTAACCATGATAAAATGTCTCAATGTTTCGCCAGGAGTCGCTAAAGACCTTAAGTATGTCCCTGAGTGTCATAATATGTTTAAAATATTTAAATTTTTATTACCATGTGAAAATGGTCAAAAGATTCTTTAATATTCTTTAAAAATTCTTTCTTAGATTCCTTTCGTCTTTTTAGCACATCAGAATATGATCAGCACTCAATTATTAATATATTATNCATCATCACATCAAAATTTCTGAATTAAAACTTAACCATTTCTGAAAAAATTAGTTGCCCAATTAAATTTGAAATTGTAATGAATTCTGCGATGAAGTACGATGAGGTACAATGAGTAAAAAAAGCGATTACTTAAATGTGATATTTTGAATATGAAAAACAGAAGGAAAAAAATTGTCAATAAAAGAGTTGTAAAAGCAAAAGAGAAACAATATGGTTTTTCGATTAAAATTTTACACAGTGAGAGTGTAATTTGATAAATATAGAGTATGTGTTTTATATATCTTATATAATGTATTAATCAAAGAATCGGAATTTGAAAAACACATAGGGGGTTACGTCTGGCCTAAATTCTTCTCAACCCTGGAGGGAGTCATTACATGTCCTGCATTTTTGATTGTACTATTTATACTGCTGTTCTTTTCTTTCTTTTTTTTTTTTGAACTATAGTTTTGCTAAAGCAACTGTTTTTCTTACAGGAAAGAGTTATAATGTCAATTGAGCTAGTACAACAAAATACAGGTAACATTATAATTCTCTTGTCTTTTCAATTTTGAAATCTTCCACGTGTTTTGTCCAAAAATGTAAATTTTTTAATGCCTGTTGCTACCTGTTTCATTTGCTGGATTTTTTTTTCTTTCAAAAATGCAACACAAATGGAAACTTCTGTTGTGTAAACAAGAATTTTGATTTGCAGTACACAAATATATATATATATACATATATTAATGGATTAACATAAATAATTTTTGATCTAATGATTGGATCTTCACGTTCTAGGGCTCAATCTGAATGCTTCGAAGGGGTTATATGTGTTTATTAATTTGTGCAAACTATATTAAGTTACGAAATCAGACACAAAAGCGTACTTTCTCTGAATAGACATATCATTTTCTTAGCGGATTCGAATAGTAGGTAGCCGCAATCTGAGAAATAAGATTTTAGTGGTTAAAACAGGAGAGTGGTCCTGAATATGGACCCCTTAATATTAACTTTACTTTTTGCGTATTTCATCATAGCTTGAACTTTTTAAGCGAATTGAAAGATTTTTCACACAAGGCTTCACACGAGCTTCGTTTATCCAGAAATAATTTCAAGCAAAATAAAACTCTCAGTAAATACTTATCTTTTATTATTTTATTTAGTAGTAGTAAAGAAAATTGAATTCGTATACAAGCTTTGCATCAATTTGCAATTTTAAATGATGAAATACGAAATTTGAAAGATATCGTCCGAATACTTACTGAGAAATTAATTCTTAAACATAAGACTTAAGCAGTTTTGAAAAAAACGACTTTTTCAAATAAACACTGCACAAAATAAGCAAATAACTGTGTATTACAAAACTGTAAATCCTATAAGTACAGCACATAAAGTCACAGAAGCACAACCGCAACTGACGCAAGCGATAACACGACTGAAACCGGTTTGCACTAGAGTGCCTTCAGTGAACAAAATAAACAAGTAAACAGGTGAACAAATAAACAAGTGCAAACTAAAGTGCCTTCACTGAAGGCACTCTAGTTTGCACTTGTTTACGGCCGTGTATCAATCGGTGTATATAAAGATTTCCTGAATAAAAACTCATCACATGTAAGTTTAAATATATAATTATTGCATACAAACTCGTGCAAGACATGTAATTATTAAAACACTACAGTGCTTTCCTGGGACTGTAACTTCAAGAAAAGAATAAGCATTATTACAGGCTTAAACTGGAGATAGTGCCGAGCACCCCAAAGGAATAAGTCAATAAATTAAAAAAACAAAATTTTTTCTGTTTTGTTTATGAATAAGTTAATAAATTAAAAAAACAAAAATTTTTCTGTTTTGCTTAAAAGCTTAAAAGTGGATAAGAATGGAACTTTTAAATTATAAATTTTCATTATTCATTTCATATTTTAAAGCACTCATTGCAGTGTGAAAACTAATTTGCCGCTTCATTAGCAATAAATATATTTCATTTGTGTCCATTTCATTTTATATACATTAATTTAAAATGATTAATTAATTATAAAATTTATGGAATGCTTTGTTAGACTATCACTGCTTGTAAATAAAGAATACGTGTTCTAAAAGAATAATTTGTATTTAAAAATGTTTTCTCATCTAAATTATTTAACTTTTCATTCGACAAGTTGGTTCTCTGTCTTTGTCATTCTTTAACAGGGGGTGTAGCGTTTTTAAAAAGTGCTTAAAGGTGCTTATTTTTGATTTGNAGTTATTGCTAGTTTTCAAAATCGCGATATTTTTAGCACGACATTATTGTGAATTGCGAGTAACGATTCACTCATTGAGCTAACCATTTTTTGAAGTGGTTTATTTGTGACGATTTTATCGCAAATCAAATTATTTATGAATCGTTATTTTGGCAATTATTATTGCTACACATTTCAACAAGGTTTCGAACGTCCTAATAATTTTTATGCGAATCCCGGGCATTTAAATACATTACTTTTTGACGCTAGTTATGCCGATTTCATCGTAAATATAAAGGGATTTTAATAGTTTTTTTCGGTAGTTATAACTATTAAAATCCCTTTTTATTTAGGATGGGACCCTACGCCTTTCCCCACGGTTCAAAACATCCTCATATCTTTATTACTATATTTTCACGGCATGCGAGTTTTGAATCGCGCGTTAAATTAATCACTCACTTGCTCTGTGTCGATATCAACGCAAATATAAGTATTTTTTCGCATGTTTATTTTTTGACAGTTGCAATTTAAAAGTCACACATCGTATTTCGTATTCTCGCGATCTAAAAATTGCATTTCATATTAACATTAACGAGATTTCATACTAACATTAAAAATCATCTATCGCGATTCGTATTCTTGAGATTTAAAATCACAAATCGCGATTCATATTTTAGCGTTTAAAAAATCATACGTTATTACTCTTCTCGCAATTCAAAAATCACACAACCCCGATTTATATTCACGTGATTTAAAAACCACATATCGTTATTCATATTC